TCTAGCTTTTTCTCTTTTGTTGCTTTGCTTTGAGCTTGTTACTGGAGAATGATGAGTACAATTAGAGTTAATCTGCTTCTTGGGAATTTATCCCAAAGAGTATGTCTTAGAATCACGGACAGTCACAAAATAGCATGACCTTGGAACGAAGCTAGAAATTTCGGTAATGGCGTTCAAGAATAAATATATTATGTAATTTTTTTTTATATACACAGTTTACAATGTTCTAGCAAAAGGTCCCCACTAGTGGGATTATACCGGGTTGTTGTCGTAGCAAAAGGTGTTCAACTGACCACCCTTTGCTAAGGTAACTCCGCCCCTGGTTGGAAATAACACCAACAACTACAACGATTATGCCTCAATCCCAATCAACTTTCTTTTGAATCATAATTGACCATATCGCTCCATATAAGCTCATCTCAATCCAATATTATACATGACTTGGAAATACCAACTGCCAAAAAATTCTATGATGTTAGGGTTGTCAAAAACATTTCTGCACATTGACAATGTGGAACATGATTAGTTGTCCGAAACTTTGATGTCATACTTATCGACCTATTTACACTAAATTATGTAGGACTGGGATGGCCAGAATGTTGGGAGCATTATATCAGGAATATGTGGTTTTATCGTTGTGCTCTCCGGAACCATCTTGTTGCATGTTACCAAAGATATGGAGAGAAGTTCATCTTTCCGAGGTTCATTATTCTTTATACTATATTTTTTTATGAAACAACTGATATTCTTCCCAAATACTTGTTACCATAAATGCTCTAGCTCTAAAAGTAATATCAAAATGCAGGTACTAGTTACACACCTTTATCCCCGACATTATCAACCCGACTATATAATACAAATGGGGAATCACTTAAGCATGAAGAAGAAGGTGGATCGTCTTCTGAGGAAGTTGATTCTAGAAGACAGGAACTTCAGGTTTAATATGACTGATATTCTTTTAGAAGGTGAAGCATGCAACCCATAGCAAACGTCGAAAGCTGCATCACGTCAATTTCCTCTTCTATTGCATCTGATTTATTAGCAGCAAGGTAAGGATTTTGCAGGATCTTAAAGAAAGAGATCATCACATGGAAGCTTTCGCTGTGCTTTCGTTGCAGAACGAAAACTAAAGAATTTGTTTATAGTTATAGCAGTTTCAAATATTGGTTTAGTGTACATCCTTAAGCATCACAGTTGTAGTCGCCGCGAATTGCGAAATATCTATAATAGCATAGCTGAATGATGAAAGGTTGAATATTAGGAGTGATTTAATTCTTTTTTGCTCTTGCTCTTTTCTCTGTCCCTATTTTTGCTGGAATTTATCTGGTATGTATAGCATTTGTTTTGAAGTATTGGGTAGAGTCTTTGTTTATGTTTCATTCTTTAATGAACTTGAGATCAGATGATGTTTGATTGACTTCAATAACACTGCCTTTCTTTTCAAGCAATTTTTCACTTACTTTACACTATAAGCGTATTAGGGTAGAAGACTAGTAGGTAATCGAGAGTTCCCCTTTCATTACCTGTAGTATCAGTAGAACTCTTGTATTTTCATATTCTTTGATCTCTATCATTTGCCTGTTATTTCGTTCGCTTTGTTTATCTTATTTCCCTGTTGTTACTAGTTGATGCTACTTTTTCTTTTTCCGGCTTCTCCTTTTCTTCCCTTTTTCCTTTTTGTCCTTTGTCTTTTTCTTTCTTTCTTCCTCCTCCTCCTCTTCTTCTTCCTTTTTCTTCCTTTTTCGCCTTGTCTTGAACCGAGGATCTATCGGAAATAGTCTTTTTACCTCACCAAGTAGTTATAAGGTCTGCGTATGCTCTACTCTCCCAATTCCCACTTATAGGATTATATTGGGTATGTTGTTGTTTACGCTATCAGTGTATATAAGTTTAAAATCCATAGACTAATAAGAGGTAGAGATTCTTTACCTCTTTGACTAATAGATTCTCATCTTTTAGCACTATTCAGTAACTCAGCCTTGACTTTCATTTATCATCTTGATCTCTATTTAAATTCTAATTTTTTATCTTACTTTTTCCCAACCACTCAAAAAAGGTTAAGATCATTTTTATTAAAGAAATTTTTACATTCTTATACACTATATCAAATTATATTACCCTCCCTACTCAAGTTTTACTATAATTACATTTTATATACTCAATTACCATTTATGTACATTTTAAGGGAATTAATGATAATAATTAGTGTCCTAAAATCACTCTAACGTATCTTCCACTACCCTCCCCCCTTCGTTTCTCTCTCCACATCCCACCCCCCTCTCCCCCACGTATCTTGCACAAGAGAGCAACAATTCCACCATTGACAACCATTAAAAAGCTTTGAAGCTTTGAATTCGAATTTGGATTTTCAAAAAACATTATTTGTTTGAATTGGATGTTGTTGCAAAGAATTGGGAATTGTCTCTACGTCTCTCTCTATCTCTCAATCCCTAATTTCAGTAATGTAAAGCAAAGGAAAAGAGAGCAGCAATTCCACCATTGACAGCCATTAAAAAGCTTTGAAACTTTGAATTCGAATTTGGGTTTTCAAAAATCATTATTTGTTTGGATTGGGTGTTGTTGCAAACAATTTGGAATATGGTTTGGAGTTTTTATCTCAATTTTGAGGGGTTTTGGTGAAGATTAGACTTGGTTTTGGCTGAATTTCAGATTGAAACTCGAAGAAGAAGAAGAAGACATGATATACATTATATTTATGAAATTGTAGAAAAATTCTATTCTGTTGTTTATATATTTTTCTTTTATTTATTTAACTATTGTATGAAAGTTGAGCAACATTGTATAAAAATTATATTTAAGTTGTATGATATTGAGTAGAAATAATGTATGAAAATTGTAGATAAGTTGTAGAAAAATTGTATATATATAATTAGTTGTATGAAATTTATTTTTAATATGTATAAATCAAATACCAAATATACAAAAGACATATTGTATAAATTTTGTATAAAATTTGTATTTAAGTTGTATGTTATTATAGTTGTATTTAACTGGGTAGAAATAATGTGTGAAAGTTGTAGATAAATTGTATAATATATAATTAATTGTATGAAATTTATTTTTACTATGTATAAATCAGATACAAAAGACATATTGTATAAATAAGTTGTATTTAACGGGATATCTTTGAAGACTTGCACAGAAACATTTTTCCTTCTACTGGACAAATTGGTTGGATCACCAAAATTCACATAGTTGTATGAAATAGATGTGTGAATATAGGTATCACATATTGCAGAGGTTAATAGGATGCATTCCTCTTGCATAGAGATTTGTCGAGTGAAATGGTTTTCCTGTGTTAAAGAATTACTATTAATTAGTTGCTTTAAAATCTGTTACAAGATTAAAATTTGCTCTATTAATTTAAAACTATTACATGATCTGATTTTGGCTCAATTGGTCTGGCTCAGGTCAACTGTCATGTTTATATTTTGGCAAACAAAACCACATTTTTGTCTTCAATTATTTCACTTTGCGCAGTTAACCATGATTTTTCTGAATTAATTAATTTTTGTAAAATCTTCATGAAACTCACAACAAAAATCTTCATGCAAAATTTATTTATTTATGGCATTTCCAAACAAGAGGGAAAATATTAAAAGCAGGCAACGGAAAGAGTTTTAAAAAAAAAAGGAAAAAGACCTAACGACTCTGCTGGGGATCGAACCCAGAATCTCTGGTTTCGTAGACCAGCGCCTTATCCATTGGGCCACAGAGTCTTGTACGTTTTGTTACTTGACTTAATTATAATTTATACACGAGACATGACATTCCCAATAAGTTTAATCTTCACTGGCCTTGCTATCCGCAAATCAATTACTCTCCTTTGAAGGTAAAACACGTTTGAAGGCAAGTCATGATATCCGAGATCGCACATCAAAAACGAAAGCAAAGTTTCAAAGTCTATCATGGAAGCGGTCCCTACTGATCCCTTCTCGTTTTTCCCTCAAAAAAGATAGAAACGAACGTTTTGCACCTTATACGTATCATGTTTTAACTTGCATCCTTTTGTTTTACAATGTTCTCCCTAACGTAAGCAACATTTCTTGATTTTACTTAGTCTTTCGACTTTTTTCTAATTTGCTACCAATTGTATCACTACGTTTTATTTTGCTCCTTATTCATTTAAAGGGACAGAATGGACTAGTAATACACTTCAAAAGCAACATAGCAACTACCAGAAATTATAGCAAAATAACACAATTCTTTCAATGACTTCTGGAATGAGAATTATGTTAAAATTTCAGTGTTTAACAGGGTTGTTGTAATGCTGGAGGCAGAACTGTAAATTTTCATGAATTTCTGCTAAAGTGTGAATTTTTCTAAGAATTTGGAGAACCAAAAAAGGTTTTCAAATGTACATTTGATTAGAAAAGAGAAAGTTGATTAAGTTATTAAGGTGAAGGAGAAGTAGACCAACGAACGCAGGGACGAAAAATGAGTTAAAAAGAGAGAGTACGGAAGGCAACCCGGTGCACTAAGCTCCTGCTATGCACAGAGCCTGGGGAAGAGCCGGACCACAAGGGTCTATCGTCCACAACCTTACCCTACATTTCTGCAAGAGGCTATTTCCACTGCTCGAACCCATGACCTCCTGGTTACATGGCAACAACTTTACTGGTTACACCAAGGCTCCCTTCGAAAGAGAGAATATAGAGGTGAAGATATATTGTTCTTGTACAATATTCCATTGTACAAGAAATAATGATACTTTTCTCTATGTAGAAAATGGCAGATCCAACCATGCGTTTATTAACTCAAGAAACCCAGTCCTTTGAAGTCCTTACATATGTGTGTAAAAAACAAATGTAGATAGAGTTAGATATACATTTGAGACTCTCATTCTCTAAACCTGGAATCCATGGCGTCTAAATTTCTGAATCCGCTACTGTATGTAAATAGCATGTCCTAGCCAGTTATGAACAAGTTAAGAGTTCGGCGAAACCTTCACGATTTGAAAACACAAAGAAACCAGAATATCAGAGGGAGAAAGGAAACCAACTCTTGTTGTATAGAAATAGCAACATAGATCATTTCTGCTAGAATTTAGACGAACATAGACAAGTCATCATTATTACAAATAAACTAGACCATCAAACAAAACTACCTACATCCTTGCTTCAGTTGCAGCTGTCAGTGTTTCTATAAAGAAAGAGAAGTTTCAAAACCTCATATGTATACATAGACCAGAGCGGGGGAGTCCGTTATGCACGTTAGTGGTTACCGATGGGTCATTTCTTGCGGGACAAAGCAGCTACAATTCCACCAGCCAGGATACCAACTGCAGTAACAGCGGTAGCAGCAATGCCGATGCCAATAACTCCATCTGCTAGGACAAAGCAAAATGAGTAACCCCTAAACTCTTTCTTTAACCAGAAACAGGTTCTGATAAATAACTTAAAGACATATTCCGTTTGCTACCTTTTGTGATTTTGTCTTCAATAGTTTGTTTGAGTGTCAAAGCCTGTCTCCAATCCGGTGCAATCTACAGATTCAAACAGCTACAAAGTAAGACTGTTGAAAAACAGACGTTGAAAGAACTGAAAGACTAATAGAACTAGTTCAAGCTTAGTTCAAGTATGCAATTCCTGAATTTCATAAATCAAGCTGCCAAAAACTTCATTGTCCAAAACATACTTATAGAGAAAACTTCATAGCCTGGAAATAAAAATCTCAAGTTTTTAATGTCAACGAGATAATATCCCAGCAAAGATTGAAAACAAAGATCAAACCTCCAAACAACGCTCAACAAGCTGCCTGCTTCTTGCATAGTCCCCACTTCTGTAGTAGCCAACGGCCAGTAGATAAATCTTTTCCCTCATTTGCAGGGGACTGTTATTGCCACCCAGAGAAGCTGCAAATGACAAAATAAGTCAGAGCTCTTCCAAATAGCCAGATTAGAACTATATCACCAAGGAAGGAAACTAGTTAAAAGAAGACTTTCAGCAATAAATTCCAAGGCAAGAGGAGAAGGTAGGAGGAGGGAGAGGAGTAAAAAGCTAAAATGTTAAAGAGTTAAGGAAAAGACAAATTATAAGTCAAAAGCATTTATCTTCATGAAATTCCAAAATCCCCAAGCAAGAACATGCCAGAGTCGGGGAATGAAAAGGGGGCATGGATTCCAAAGATCTCACCTTCAAGCATTGCGATTCCACGTTGTACATCTTCTGGCCGTTTTGAGTGAACAAGAGCCCATGACAGACGCATGATGCATTCACTTTTGAGTTCATCAGACGAACCTTTTTCCGCCTCAGCAACTTCACGTTCACAACCCTGTACAGTGTACACAGATTTGCCATCGTGAGAGACTCAGATATTCTCAATATTACCTTGATCTGGTCTAGACGTGTGATGACCCAAAAGGTCATCATTTGTTTTAAAATAAAATTCTACGTTCCGAGGCCATAAAAACCTCATTTAGCATCACCTCGATTTACGTGCATAGTCCGGGCGCGTAGCCAGAAAGCCTAAATGTGAAAATCTGCGAAAAATGATAAATTTTGACTATAAAAGGAGTTAATTTGACTTCGGTCAACGTTTTGGGTAAACGAACCCGGACCCGTGTTTTGACGGTCCCGGAGGGTCCGTAGGAAAATATGGGACTTGGGCGTATGCCCGGAATCGAATTCCGAGGTCCCAAGCCCGAGAAATGAATTGTTAAAGAAAATTATTTTTTGAAATTGTTTAAAGGTTTTCGAAATGAAATTTGATTAGAACATGATGGTATCGGGCCCGTATTTTGGTTTCGGCGCCCGATACAGGTCTTATATATGATTTAAAATGTTTCTGTGAAATTTGGTGAGAAACGGATGTCATTTGACGTGATTCGAACCTAAATTACAAAAAAAATGATGTTTTAAGAAGTTTGAGAAAATTCTTTGAATTTGAGGTTTAATTTGTTGTTATTGTGGTTATTTTGGTGATTTGAGTACATGAATAAGTCTGTAGGATATGTTTGAGGTTGTGTGTGTATTTGGTTTGGAGCCCCGAGGGTTCGGGTGAGTTTTGGATAGGCCACGGGGTGGATTTTTTGACTTAGGAAGTTACAGAAATTTTGCTGGTATGATCAGGCCTGCAGGCTTCGCATGGCTAGCAAATGCGAAGGTTGGATCGCAAATGCGAAAAACATCCCAGGCCTGCCTTGCTCGCAAATGCGAGTATTCCTTCGCGAATGCGAAAATACCTGTCCAGTCTTGGGTCGCAAATGCGACCCATTCTTCGCAATTCCCAAGTCGCAAATGCGACATTCTGTTCGCAAATGCAAAGGTTCAGTTTTCCTGAAGGGTTCGCAAATGCGAACCCTGTTTCGCATTTCCCAACTTGGCAGAGGTCGGGGTTCGCAACTGTTCGCAATTCCCATACCTGCGACCTGCAACTTTATACTTAGACGATTTTAAACCCATTTTTCACATTTTTTCAAAACACAAACTCCTTTGGGCGATTTTCCAAGAACTTTTCTTCCAAATCAATTGTAAGTCGTTTTTAACTAGTTTTCTTCGATCATTAACATCTTTTAACATGATTTCAACTTAAAATCAATGATTTTCATGGGGAAATTGGGTGTTTTGGGTAGAGCCTCGGTTTTTTAAAAAATTGGGGATTTGGACCTCGATTTGAGATCCGATTTCAAAACAAATTATATATTTGGGTTTGTGGGGGAATGGGTAATCGGGTTTTGGTTCGAACCTCGGGTTTTGACCATGTGGGACCGGGGGCGATTTTTGACTTTTGGGTAAAACTTTAGAAAACTCACTTTCATGCATCGGAGTTGATTCATCTAGCATTTATTGATGTAATTAAGTAACTTGTGGCTAAATTCGAGCGAATTGGTGGTGGAATCAAGGGGTAAAGCTATAATTGAATCGTGAATTGTGTTCGAGGCATCGAGATAAGTGTTTGGTCTAACCTTAGCTTGAGGGAAGGAGTTGTGTCCTATTTGCTATATGCTTCTTGTTGAGTACGACGTATAGGCATGGTGACGAGTATCTATACGTTGGTGTCAAGCATGCCCATGAGTCTTATATTGTGATTTTCATGACTTCGTTGTATTATCCATGCTTTAGAGGTGATTTCTATTTGTTGTGAAAAGTTTGTGGAAGGAATTGTGAACTTTGAACATCGAGGAGCATTGGCTCAAGCTATATTACGAATTGCGAAAGTAAATGAGTTGATTGAACCCTTTGGAGCATTGGCTCAAGTGGTAAAGTGAGTTGCGAAGTAAAAGTGAAAGAAAGAGAAAGAGTTATTAAATTGTTTCTTTGCCGGGATATTGTTGCTTTATTGGTTATCTCCCTTGTCGGGATGTTGATATTATTGATGTTGTTCCCTTGCCGGAATTTAATTGTTTAATTGTTGTTCTCTTGCCGGAATTCCTATTATGATCTTGTTTATTCCCTTGCCCCCCCCCCCCTTGTTTGTGATAGTTGTTCGGGTGAGGAAGAGTGTTAAAGCACGAAG